GTTCGAGTCGCCCCAACATAACTTTCCAGGTCCGTCTGCGATAAAGTGATTATGCTTTACGAGATTAGAAAAAAGAGGAAAGGGTGAAAACTGAATATCATTGAAGGTTGCTGTACACTAAACTACAAGGGAAAAATTGACCCTCATGCGTGTCCTAGGGCAAGTAATCCCCACTTAATCTCGTCACAGGTAGGCCAAAAATCAGGCGGCAGGGACAGCATATTCTAGCCGTTCAGGTTTATGTACTGTCGTTTTCAACGGACGCTTTGCTTGACTAGCCTACACAATTCGATAGTAATTGATGTTGAAATCAAACACTTCTAAGATATACTGCTTTTCTGAATAAAGCCAGAACATGCGATCCCAATTCCTGTATCGTCATCTGCCCGAAATTGCGTGCGATGTGTTATCCAAGCTTCAGTCTCCAGACTGCCGTGCTCCTCCACGCTCGCATGATTGTTCAGGACATGATAACCATAATATAGTGATAAGTCGTCGTGCAGCATGATTTTTCAGGGGCTGCCAACAAATCACGTTGATGTGCAGTAATGGACAGTCTACCTACGGGAACGAAGTTCTTGAAACTCTTAGATTTGCCATAATTGCTTCAGCGGACCACAAACGATTGTAGCTTTTTCGGTTGAGAAAGAAGTGAATAGCCTGTGGACAGCCTCGGAAGTTATTAAGCATATCTCATGAGTTGCAAAGCAGTTCAATACAGTACGTCGCGAAACCGGTGCAACCACCCCACTCTTCGATTCTTTTCTGCCCCTTACGCTAAGATTCATTGGTCTATATTTAGAGTTCTTCCGGGAGTCGCATATGTATTCCTTCGTGAGTAGAGCACATAATGATTTCAGGCATGATTCTTGTATAAATTCAATACAGAGGATCTCTGACCCACAAACACGCCACATTAGTAGCGCTCCATAATGAGCTGTGTCTTTAGCGAGTCCTGCACGAGCAGCCAGCCCTGGCTCTCCAAATAGGCAGCTAAGTCTGCCTGCTCAACCGAGGCTGTGATTCGACTCGTTGTTTTGAAAGAAGCCTCAACGATGTACTCGATTCCTGTGCCTGTGGAGTTCAAGATCGGCCAGATCTCGAGGTATAGCTGCATTGCTTTCCATAAGCCGGTGGAGCGCCTGACGAGGACTGGCCCAAAGATGCGCGACACAGCTAACGCGGCGGTGCCCCATTTGTTGCTCTCAAAGTTGTCGAATTTATCCGGCGCCTCATCGATCAGCATTTTACGGGAGTTGGTGATATCCGGTAGGTCAATTCCGCTAGCCCTGGTATCCGTTGCGGTTTTCTTGCGGCTGATAGAAAGTGTCTGCTTCTGGTAACCCCATTCCACTTGCGCCTTATATTTTGTGCTACTGGCGTTGAAACCATCTCTATTAGCCACAGTAAGAGCGGCAACAACATCGCCTCCCACGACGGGATACCGCTTCTTGTACGTCAACTCGAAGTCGTTCTCGTTTTCGGTCTTGCGGATACGGGTGCTCCAGCCGGCGAGATAGATCTCCTTGGAGCCGTTGTCGAGGAACTGGACATTCATCCTAGTGACAGTCGGGGCAATATGGAAGGCCGATAAAACAGTACTCGTTAGCTCATGTTCAGGGCCAAGAACCGCTGTCGGATTGAGCAAGAGCCTGACCTCGTAGTCGGGGATTATATTTGGCTCTGACTGGGTTGGGAAGCCCACGATAGCGGCCATAATGAGCGGTACACGATAGATGTATACTGGCTGAGAGCTCGTGGATGTGAATTGGATGAAGTGACTAGAGTAATCAAGGCGTTTTTATTACGGGTGCAGAGAAGGTGGTACTTAAGAACCTTTCTTGGGAATAATGCAGCAGCAAGGGCGTACTCATCGAGAATCAGTGTCTCGTATGTCTAGTATCCGCTATTTGCACCTAGCTGTTGAGCCATAACATACGAGAATGACCCGTGGCTACACCGATACTATCGATATCCACATCGGACTATTTCTAGTCTATGAGCATCTAGGCCCTGAGGTGAAGATGCTTAGTGGCGGGAGTCTTCTTCCGCTTTGACCCCTAGTTATACTATCCACAAACAGAGACTATCTCAGCCGGCCGGGCCCTGAAGACCATGGCGCTTATAGTAGACTAGAAATATAATAGTTAAATACTTACCATAAGTGTAGACGTCAGTCCCCCTTTCACGTCTAAGGGAAGGAGGAATCATAAATTTTTAGTACGTAGTACGCTTTTGATCCCAATTCCGTCAAAATAAGTATAAGAACTTATATACTTTATTTTAGTGAGTTCATTCGATAGGTTTAAGGATCTAACGACCGGTCTAATCCCTAAGTGTTATTTACTTGGGCAGCCTTGCTGTAAGTTAGTAATTTATTGGACTATTTACTACGGCAAAAGTCCATGGTTATCATCATTTTGTAAAACGCTCCTTTTATTGAAATTCTCACTGACTGGAATCGATTCCGTCCTATAATATCCGCGTAACACCACATACATGGCGTGTAGAATGTAGTCATAAGAGGCTCTATCGTCATACATGTAAAAATTAACTCAATAAGTTTGAACCCTTTTATTATCTCCTCCATGAAAGACCATATCGTTTATGCTATTTATCTGCCAAGAACAAAATCGAAGTTTATTTTTATCGCCCACGCGTGACCAGTTCTTCGGCCGCAAACGGCCCTCCCTAGGTCGTTCTATCTGTATAGGGTCTAGACTATGGGACAAAGAATAGACTTAATATAACCAATTAAACTCGTGTTAAATGTAGACAAGACGTCATGAAAATTCAAAGCACTGAGACAAGGACTATTCGTGCTTGGAACATACTATCACAAGCCTAATCGGGTGGACGACTAAGACTTTAGTAAAATGAACACTTAAACTAGCATTATTACTGACTAGGCGTTCGATTTACTATCATCTAGCATTATAGTATAGAAGACGTCGCTCTTTCTCACCGTCAGATTCTCAACCATGACGTCACCCGCCTTAATCAATAGCGACCAACCCCGGCCACGGGCTCTGGTAGACATTAGACAACTGAAAGCCGATTGACTGTATTGTACAACATGTACTGTACAGGACGCAGGTAATGTGAGCCAATATTTGCTAAGGTCTGGCGCCGAGTAAGACCCCTAGTCCGTCACTTAGACACAGGGGCGGCGGAGGGATGCGTCAGATCGCTAGGTTCTCGATGCAATACTAAGATCCATCATATTATTTTATTTATTTTCTTATCTTTTAATCAAGCGGAAGGAGAAAGGCTCTATATTTTAAAAGATTTATAATATAAGCAGTTTATTATTGAAATTAAGTTAAATAATATTCTGTGATTATTGCCTGCTTATATTGGAACTCAAAATCCATCTATCATAATAAATTATTTTTAAGAAAAGTTTAAATATTCGGATCTTAAGCTATCAACCCTTACAAAATCCAAAACCTAGCTGAAAAACTTAAAAACAGAGACTATTGTGCCTAAAAATTTTGCAGAAAGCTAAAAATATAGATTTATTATTGATAAATTACTCTTATATATCCTAGGTCGAAATCTCTTTCTGCCCCGCAGACACAAGCTTATTTCTAAGCCCTAACGTCAAGATAATATTTCATACAGGAGTCTATATTTGGCAACCTGGTAACTCTTTATGGATCAACAACTAGCAGATCATCCAGCTCGAATTCCACCTCCCGCCCTTGGGCCTCCAGCTCCAGATATCCAGGTGCACTCTGCTCAATAATGCGGACCCAGAGGTCCCGACATCCGTAACCTGGAAAGAAGAACTTATTGTTCAGTCGGGTTGACTCTAAGAGCTCGAGAATGGGAAGGTTCATGTCCAAGCTATATCAATCTCATTAATCAAAAAGGATCTCATCAGAAGACGAGAAGTCAGCAGCAATATTTAGAAAAGAAGAAACATACGGTTCATTATACTGCGGTGGACCCCCGATCCCCGACTCGGCGATCTCGTCCAGGTCCTTCCCCAGAACCTGCTCGAAGGTCATAGTTTGCCCTATATTCCAGGGTCGACGGAGGGTTGAGACGCGGATGTCGCCATTGGAGCCATACTCCACCAGAGTAAGACGCCCCGTGGCCAGCCCCGGTGCATCGATAACGAACCACGTGAGGTCCGGCCCGTCGGCGAATACCACCGTGCCCTGACGGGTCATGGAGATGGCGCGGTAATCCGCCGGGGCGAGATACAGCGCCGGGAGAACCTTGCTGAGGGTAGTAGTAGCTGTGGCCGCCGGAGGGCAGCTAAGCAGCTCTGGAATGTGGCAGCGGGGGGCGTCGCCCGCCCCACGCAGGTCGAAGGGATGCCGCCTGCTCCATTCATCTTGGTGGACGTATAACAGAATAAGAAACTTCACAAGATGGATGTAGCTGCGCGGATAGATCTCCCGGTTGATTGGGGCCAAACACAAGAAGCGTTTGTTGGGTCTAGGGGCGAGCTGCGAGAGTACCTGGGCCGGGTAGTCAACAGCCGAGGTGTATCCTGCGGAACGACTATGGTAGGACTGCGGCAGTATTACCCATCAATCTTCTTCTTCCTCTTTTTTTTTTCCTTTTCTTCCTCCTTTTCCACTCATGCTCATTCATGCTGAAGATGAAGAAGGCAAGAGAGGGACAGATACAAGGATAACAAGAGGAAGAATCTAGAGACTTCTAAGATCATACGGACCTCGCGGAACTCCTGGCTTGCGGTAGCCCATTTCTCGATTAGGGCTCGTCGTTGGCGAAGCCCATCTTCGGTATTTGACGTCGGGTGGGATTCTTCCTGCATCCGGCGAGAAAGTGATTGGAAACCGTCAGTGCGACATATCATGATAGTGATGTGTGCTTCCGAAGAATCTCCCCTACCCGTACGAATAGCAACCATCCCTTGGCCTCTTCCGCGAGCTCTTCCGGGTCCAAATCTGTCAGATGCAGGCGGATTTGCGGAATTTCCGCCGGCCAGGATACTTCTGACATCCGCTGTGACATTTTGGACTGGAATTTCTGGGTGTGAGAATCAAATTGCGAAGCTTGTAACGCGAGAAGGAAAGAAGGAAAGGGGGTGAAAGCATTCATCCCGCCAGTCCACCGAGTTTACATAAATTTCATAGGGGAGAAAGGGTCCACAAAAAGGATTACAAAACATTACAAGACCCTTCCGGTATTTCACTAGTGCAATGTTGATTGTGGGTCCTACCCCACCCATTCATCTCGCGCCCGAGGGCCTGCTGCTAATCTGCCTTCACTTAATTACACCCGCCATAGGAACTATCACAGATGGCCGATGCGCAATACTCATCAGTGGATCCACTGCCATCTCGGTTAGCCAGCCTCCGACGGTCATTCCCCCGGTGTGTTACTCACCAGTATCCAAAGATGCTGCAACAGGATCCGAACTGGGAGCCGAAGCACGTATAACCCCCATTGTCAGCGCCGCAGAGCCCGTTGGGCGAACTCGTCCCGGAGCAGGGGCCGTAACTGGAGTCGCAGTTGGCGCCACAATAATCATCGGTTGAACCACTACAGACCAAAGTCGGGGTTAGATTTAGAAAATGCGAGAAATGCTCGAACTTGTATAGGGAGTGGCTTCCTACCAATAACTGTACGTGTCGCAGCAGTCCCCGAACCCGGAATTGAAGCAGGTCCAGTCGTTGTTGCTCGCCCCGCAGAGACCATTGGGAGAGACGCCACCAGCACACACTCCAGCATCGGAATCACAGCTTGGCGCGGCGCAATAATCGCTAGTGGAACCACTAGGAAAGACTGATCAGAACGGAATCGTTGAACAGAAGAGCCTGGGGAAAATATTCATCAAGACGACTTACCAGTCTAATCCACAGGTGTTGGCCGAATATACCTTAATTTATATGAAATTAAGATTTGGATAGGATTATACTAACTATTTAATTAATTACTACAATTAGTAAATTATATATATCTATATTAGAATCAACTAGTTAAATCTTCTTAAAAATTATTATAAACTAATAAATAATATATATATTTCAATTTATGTATATTGTACAGCTTAAGTGATAGTTTAATAATATTATAATAATAGTATAAAATCTAATAAATTAGATAATTTATAATTATTATTTATTCTTAGATTAAACTCAATATTAATTCTAATCAACAGGGGTTGGCCGAATGTACCTTTATTCGGATTAAATTAGGACTTAGATAGGACCGCACTAGCTATCCGATTAATTAATATAATCAACAAACCACATATATTCGTATTATTTTTAAATATATATTCGTATTAGAATCTACAAGCCAAATCCTTTTAAAATTTATAAATTAATAGATAATATAGCTGTTTTTATATATACCTATTTTAAAGCTTAAGCAACAGTTAAATTATACTATAATAACTATTAATAATATAAGCAGGTTTACCAGTTGGCTGTCTTATCAGTTGTCTATTTTAATTATTAATTATCTATCTAATCCACAGGGGTTGGCTAAATATACTTTAATTTATATTAAATTAAAATATAGATAGGGCTGTACTAGCTAGTTAATTAATTACTATAATTAATAATTTATATATATTTATATTAAAATCTACCGGCCAAATTTCTTTAAATTTATAAATTAATAGATAATATACCAGTTTTTATAGTCTATTCTAAAGCTGAAGTAATAGTTAAAAAATACTTTTTAAAATAATTAGACTTTATTATAATAAAAAATATTAAACTTATATTAGGGTTTTGAATTATTTTCAAAAAATAAAAAAATAAAAAAATAAGAATATAAAATAAGAAAAAGTAAAAATAATATCAAAGATAGTAGTAAAAAAAAAATAAAAAATAAAATAAGATAAAAAATCAAAAACTGAAACATACAATAAAAGATATTAAATAT